GGAAGATGCAGAAAGATTTTCGCAGAGGTGGCTAAATCTATAAGCACACAGGGGTTACCCAAAGTGGGACCGATGCTTGATGGAAAAGAGGTAAGGACTCAAGACCGCTACTGGTTGATTATTAAAGTTGAGTGGTTACCTACTCCAGTAGAAGAACAGAAGTAGTAGAAGTAGTAAAAGAAAAACTTGGGAGAACAGTCCAGCTGAGTTTTTCTGGTGGAGGAGGACTAGAGAACCAAAAATCCCCTAAAAGAGAACAAAAACCCTAAGTGTTTCTTACTGCTGCATGTGAGCATTTCCTTTTTTTTTTTTTTTTTGCCTAGATCCTTGTATTTCTGGTGCTAAGCAATCTTAGGTGCTGATGTGTCCTCTGTACCTTAACAGCAACGTGTCTCATGGTCGGCTTTGTGGGTCAGCGGGGTGGGACACGGCTGTGGTCAGCGGCATTGTTGGGGACGGTTGTGCTCAGATGTGTCTCAAGGCCAGTGACTGTAAGAGCCGGGGGAAGTATCTTAGCTCGGAGCGGGAGGTTCTGCAGCAGCAGGTCCTGCAGTAAAAGGTTCTGCAGTAGTGGCTGCAGCCTGGGGACAGTGGTGCTTGGATCACCACGTTTATGCAAGCTGCAATACAGAGGATCGTCCTGAGAAAGCTTTGGCACATCATGCTGCGTGTATCCTCCCGTTTCCCCTCTCCTTGTCCTTGCGCCAGATACAACCCGTGCAATGCTGACCCGGGGCTCGGTGCATCTCTTTGTACACCCCATCTCCACCACCACAACTGCACCGACACCCCACATCCTCCCCTCCTGATTTACACCCCCAGAGGGATCGACACCTGCCTCCACCATGTCACCAAGGGACTTTCCTGTCCCCAGCTCCCTTGAGGTCAGACGGGTCTGAGCAGGAGCCGGAGGGCCCCGGGAAACGGTGACTTATTCCATCCCGCTGCCTGCAGATTCCCGGGGTATTTGAACAGCGCCACGGCTGTGAAGGACATGGGGTATAAAGGTTGTTTACTTGTGTCTCACCAGTGTAGGAGGGTTCATAAATTAAGGATTTTGTACTAAAAGTGATGGGCATCGGCCTTGAATTGAACTCTGAGCCAAGGCTCGCCCCGTGGCAGGGCTTTTCACGCAGGCTGTGGGTGTTGCTGTATGCTCAGGAGCTCTTCCCAGGATGGGAAACCCAGGGACCAAAGGGACAAGGTCTTCGGTCCCCAGTGTCACGGGAAAGTGAAGCCCAGGGTTTTCTGTGTGACTGATTTAAAGGACAAGTTCTGCCACCTGTGAACACAGTAGCAGCAATTCTGTGTTTCAGTGTCTTTTCTTAGGCTGGTATGAGCAAGAAATACCTTGCAGTCTTGGGTTTGTGCCTATTGCTTTGTGTGTGTTTCTTAAAGTGTCTGCACTGACCTGCAGGGCTGAGAGGAGCATGAAGACACACCAAAAACCTGCCCCAGCCAGCATGCTTCCAGCTCAGGTTCTGGTGATCAGCCCTTTTGCTACTTTGCCTTATTAATTAGGTGTTGACGTGAGATGTGTGGTTTGGTGAGTCTATCACAAAGAAGTATCGAGCTATTAGGAATAGAGACTGTCCTACCTAACCTGAAGCCAAGCAGGGGCAGGCCTTCTCTTCCTTACAACATTGTTTCCTGGCAATACCAGACTCTGTTACCTGCTTCCATCAGGAGAACCTTCTTCCTCAACTCCTCAGGAGCTTAATTAAGTGCCATAGTGCATCTCACCATCTTCTTTCAGCCACAGAGAGCTCCTCCCCAAAGCTCCCGTTAAACCTCCCATCTTGTCCTGGCTGCAAGAGGACTCAGTGCGGGGACGTCCCCGCCTTGGCCAAGCCCCTGGGACTGGCAGGCACACCCCAAGTCTTCTCAGGAGCATCGTGAGAGCTGGCAGCTCCTGCAGCCTCTGCAACTCTTGCATTTATCCCAACACCGCAGTTCAGTGCGATGTTGTAGGTGCATCCCAGCAGTGCCAGCTAAACATGCTGGATGCATGGGGTAAAGTGGGCTTCCCTCTCCCCATCTCATTCTGGGGGGGGTGAATTTATATCTGCAACTCTCTGTTTCACCCCTTGCTATAAAGGAAGCCCAGGGTCTAGCCTAGACTTTTCGATGCTTAATTAAGGGTGGGTTTTTCCCATCCACAGGGACTGTCTTCCTGATATGTGGAAGATTTATAGGCAGACAGAGCATATCAGCTAGTAGTTTAAGGATCAGTGGGACCTCCAGAAAAATGTGCCTGCTGCCCTGCTGAGTGTGCACTGCAGGAGAGGCTCAATCCCAGCCAGTCCCCTCCGTGGCAGAAGATGGATGGCAGCAGAGCAGGACCTGAAGGTTTTACCTGGATCCTGCTGGGGTGACCGCTGCTCCACGGTGTCATCACGTTAAATTGAGCATCTTCACCCGCTCGATTCACTGATCAGTCTTTGGGGATGGGGCCTTTGACACTTGGCATCACCATTTATGAACTGAACGTGTCGAGTGGGGAGTCAAGCACTACTTGGCCCTTCCAGCCCTGCAGGGCAGTGCTTTCACCCTGCATCAGGTAATGATAAACCCGGGCATTGCTTAAATACAAAAGCTCAACAGATGAAATACGGGAACTTGCAGACTAAATATTCTGTCTCATGGCCTGGGAACACTGAGATTTTATGCTCCACACCAGGATCCATCTGTTCCTCCCCCCATAGCCTCCCAAACCTGCTCTGTTCCCAGCCTGTGGCAGGGATGGCAGAGCAGAGAGAGCTCTTGTACCACAATGCCACCAGATTTATCACAGGCTCTGCCAAGAAAAGTGGATGTTTGGCAGCTGAGGAGATGGCTTCTCACAGCCCTTTCTGCAAGGAGCTTGGTTCCTGAGATGAAGCCCTGTGTGGAGCTACAGTGTCTCCGTGCTGGCATCTCCTCGCGCCATTGCTGCCCCTGAGAGCAGAAGCAGCCCCAGCACTCACGGCATGCTCTACTGACCCACCAAGGGTCATTAGGGGTGTGGGGGAGATGTTGGCTTTTCCAAGTCACCCTTGGATGTCTGTGGTCCTTGGTGAAGTCTTCTCTCCTTGAGCTCCTTCCTGCCAGGGGCCAGGGCACATCCCACCCAGTGCACCTGCCCCAGCCCTTTCCTAAAGGCAGGACCTGGCTCATGCCATTCCCTTCCCTGCTTGAGGTAAGGTTGCAGGGCACAGGGTGCATTTCTGAGTGAGTAAATGATTGCTTTGCCCCATCATCATGGTGGGAAGCATCCCTCAGGTCAGCTTTCCATGCAGTTTGCCCTGCTAAGCCACCTGCCAGCCTTGGAGCTGGTGGCAAGAGGTGACACTTGAGCAGTGTCCCTCAGTTTGAACTGGCCACAGGGATGCCTCAATGCCATTTTGCTGCTGTTAGGAGCTCATTTATCTGGGCATGTCCCTGTTCATCAGTCCGTAAGGGCCTTCTGAGGACATTCCCTATTATTCACAGTCGTTTCTCTGCCAGTCCCCATGTCCTCTCACGTATTCCCAGAGCGTGACTACAAGAGGGATTGAATGCAGGCGAGGGCTTGGAGGAAACAGCGTTTATCCACATCCATCAGGCAACATCCCAGCTGAAAGGAAAGTGCTGCTGAAGCCCCAGTCCTGCTGCCCCCACGATTCACAGGTGGTGAATCGGAGTGGTTTGGGGGTGACACATCTCCCACCTGTGTGTTCCACACAAATACCGACACAGCCAGGGAAACAGCTCCTTTCTGTGAACTCCCCGCACTGTCCTGGGCAAATGCCAACCGGGGCAGCTGCATTCAGCCATCCCAAATTCCATGTGCCACCTCAATTGGCCACAGCCCTCATCAGCGCCTGCCCTGAGTTGATGTGCTATGGCACTGTGACCTGCAGCAGCCCCGGGCTGTGAGTCACGGCCACCAGCTCGGTGCCAGGCACTGTGCTGGGTGGGCTGGGGCCAGTGCTGGGCTATTTGCCCCCGTGGCCCCTCAGCTGGCCAGCGAGCAGGGCCAGGGTGAGCAAGGCAAAAGCATAAAGCCTGCAGTGATAGGACCCTTGAGCAGGACAAGGGGGTGCATAGCTTATTTTAGGCACCAAACCTGGACACTTTGTTGAAGAGCAGGTCCCTGTCCAGCCGGTGGGGAGAGCCAGGTGCTCCCTGCCACCCGTGCATCTGCTTAGGAGAGTGCTTATAGGGATGGCTGTGGGGATCAGAGGCATGTTGGTCAGGACATGCCCCTCACCTTTGACCAAGGCTTTGGGTAGGGTCTGAAACACCTTCCAGCCTTGCTACAGAGGCACCATCTCTCCCTGATGCTGCTGGCAGGGATGCAGCTTCCAGCCCTGAGCCCTGACAGATCGGGGCAGCAAATGGCCCCGTCGGGGAAGGAGCAAGTCCCATAACTCTGCATCCTTGTCCTGGAGAGAAGGGTTATTTAGGGATCTGCCCGAGCCCAACTGGATTTGCATAAAGCCTGTAACTGAGAACATCTCAGAAGGGTTAGAGACCTCCCTTCAGCAAAGGGACCCCTTGGTGGAGGCTGGGAGAGGGTTATCCACAGGCTGGGAGCGAGCCGGGAATCATGACAGCCTATGAGCCATGAGGAATGACTCGACAGCATCTCTTGGATCCCTGTGTCACTGGAGGGCCAGATGTCCCCGCTCCTACCCAGAGGGGCGACCGGGGACCAATCTATCTCGCCAGGAGCTGCTCACGCCACCTCCCCATGAAAGCCCAGCAGAGGCTGAGCCAAGCTGAGCAATCTGATGGGCCCAGCATCCAATCATAATTCT